GCCTCCTATCTCAGCAAATGATGCTGGATGGCTATAGAATAGAACAGAAGGATAGGATAGGATAGGATAGAATAAATTTAAAAATATGGAATGGAATAGAATAGGAATAGAATTCTTGATTGGCCAAGTGTGATTGGACACACAAGGAATTTGTCTTGCTGCAAATGTACATAAAAGAAAAGATACATTCGTCAAGAATCATAAGGTACAACACTTAATAATAGTCACAGGGTACAATAAGCAATCAAATCAGATAGATAGATAGATGATAGATAGATAGGAAAGGAAAGGAAAGGAAAAAAAGAAAGAAAGAAAGGAAAGAAAGAAAGAAAAGAAAGGAAGAAGAAAGAAGAAAGAAAGAAAGAAAGAAAAAAGAAAGAAAAAAGAAAGAAAAAAGAAAGAAAAAGAAAGAAAGAAAAAAAATACAATTCTTGATTGGCCAAGTGTGATTGGACACACAAGGAATTTGTCTTGGTGCAAATGCTCTCAGTGTACATAGAAGAAAAGATACATTTGTCAAGAGTCAAGAATCATAAGGTACAACACTTAATAATAGTCACAGGGTACAATAAGCAATCAAATCAGATAGATAGATAGATAGATAGATAGATAGATAGATAGATAGATGGATAGATGAAAGAAAGAATTGAATTGAATTGAATTCTTTATTGTCCAAGTGTGATTGGACACACAAGGAATTTGTCTTGGTGCAAATGCTCTCAGTGTACATAGAAGAAAAGATTCATTTGTCCAGAGTCAAGAATCATCAGGTGCAAATCATAAGGATACAAGCGACAAAGTTACAGTCATACATTCACAAGTGGGAGGGGAGGGGAGATAAGGATTAATGAGAAGATTAATAGTAATAGTAGTGCAGGCTTTGTAAATAGTTGGACAGTGTTGAGGGAATTACTTGTTTAGCAGAGTGATGGCTTTTGGGGAAAAAACTGTTCTTGTGTCTAGTTCTGGTGTGCAGTGCTCTATAGCGTCGTTTAGAGGGAAGGAGTTGAATACAATACAATGCAGAGGAGAAGAGAATGCAGAATAGAATAGAAATAGAATAGAGAAGAGAAGAGAAGAGAATGCAGAAGGGAATAGGATAGGATAGGAATAGGAATAGAATAAGGAGAAGGAGAAAATAATATTCTTTATTGGCCATGTGTGATTGGAGACACAAGGAATTTGTCTCCGGTGCATAGGCTCTCAGTGTACATAAAAGCAGCTAATGATAAATTATGATCATAATCATAAAATACAATCATTGTAAATCATAAGATACAACCCTGGATACTTAAAAGGATAATAAATAAAAGCAACAGAATCATAAAAGGATACTAAATAATCCACACAAATCATAAGATATACTGTAAACAATAAAGCTACTGTCATAAGATGCTAAAGGAATAGATAATAGGAAAGGTGAAAAAGGATAAAGAAGTAATACAGCCTTACTAGGTGGTCTGACATCCCAGGGCATAAGGCAGTGTCGTGGGAATTAGTTGCTTAGCAGAGGAATGGCGTGGGGGGGGGACGGGACACTAGAAATCAAAGCATCCCACAGACACATGAGGACAATTTACAGTTTTGCCGAAAACCCAATGTTTATGGTTTTTGGCAAAATAATAATAATCCCCATAGCGAAGAACGACTGCTTAATGACCGCCACTAAAAAAAGTCATAAAATCGTGTCAGTCATCACACAATGACTTGCTTTACAATCATTACGAGTCTGTATTGTGGTTGCAAGTCGAGGATTTGCCTGTACTCGGAGCCAGTGGAAATTTGAGGTGGACTAGCACCAGGCCACAGTTGATGGACTGTGATTTTAGTATAGTTAGACCATGTGTCATTGACAGACTGGATTTCATCCTAGGTCTGACCTGTTATTTATGATTTCATTCTGGAATTTTTAATGGTATACTGTGTTTCCCCCAAAATAAGACCCTGTCTTATTTTTATTTATTTTTTTGCCACCCAAAAAGGCACCAGGTCTTATTTTGGGGGGATGCCATCCACTGACTAACCTCACTTGCGCGCGTTGCCCCTGGCCTCCTTTTCACTGTCAGAGGCCCTCAGGAACTTCTGTGGCCGGGAAGGTTTTCCTGAAGGCCTCTGTGGCCGATAACAGAGCTCTGGATCAATCCTGAGCTTTGTTATCCGCCCCAGAGGCCTTCAGGAAAGCCTGACCAGCCTTGCCGGCTGCAGAAGAAATGGGCCGGCCAGGCAGGTGTCGGGGTGTGCGAGGCCTGGCTACACCTGTCCACAGGTAAGTAGTAGGGCAGCTCCACACTGCCCCCATCCCCACCCTAGCTTAATTTTACCCATCCACTCTGGAGTGGGCGGGATCTTAATTAGGGCTTATTTTGGGGGGTAGGGCTTATATTGGGCATATGTGTAAAAATCAAGCTAGGTGTTCTGACCAAGGCTTCCTGAGACTGTCATTAAGCACACGGTTATTTCAAACAACTCTTTTTTTTATTTCAACGGCTAGGAATTGTGTTCATTCCCAGCCCGTAATGAGTCCCAAACAGTCCCTCGAGATAAGCACCCACCTTTCTCTCCTTTGAATTGCTGCCAACAACTCAAGTGCCAGATGAACTGTAAAAAGCCAGCCGAAGTACAAAGTCCACACAGAGCTTCAAGGTTTAATCTGAACAGAGCGAACGACTTCGCTTCCTGCAAGGGCTCCTGTCCCTTTGCTCCTCCTTGATGTCTTATGGGAGGGGCCAATCACCTCCAAGCCTTACTCCCAAGTTGCCCCTTTTGTCTCAGCTGCTCTTGCCTTCTGGCAGCTCTGTGCAAGCGCTCACTGGGAACAGGCTCCCTCTGCTCCTCTGTCTTGCTGCTGTCGGATTCTGGGGGCTCCGGAGTTGGCACATAACTCCCAGGTGGCCCTGGTCCCATCTCTGTGTCAGACACAGATCCCTCCTCCGAGCCCTCCCCAAACTCCAGGACTGGCCCATGTTCCTCCCCACTGTCCGAATGTGCCACAACACGAGGACTTACTTTCCAGGTAGGTCCTATTTTCAGGGAAACAATGTTTACTGGGTGTTTTTAATTCGTTGCGGTCTCTGGTCCCTGACTTGTCATCAACTGAATGGAATGGGCTGGGCTAGGGCCGTGGGTTGTGTTGAGTGCAGCCTCCCCTCCTCTGTCTCTCTCCCCAGCACCAGCGCCGCCACCTGGAACTGGCCTGCACCGTCTCCAACGCGGTGGAGCAGCAGAGGGCTTGGGCCACCATCGGCCGCACCTACATGTTCATGGCCGAGAGCGGCCAGCTGGGGGAGGCCCTGCAGGAGGCCGAGAAAGCCTTCATGAAGAGCTTGGCTATTCTGGAAGAGAAGCTGGAAGGTACCCTGGGTGGAGAGAGGTGGGGGAGGCCTCCCGGGGCACCGTGGGTTGGTATCCCCCCCCTGCTGAAGGGGGAAGGAGGTCTTGGGGGCTGAAGGCTTTCCTACTTCCTTGGGGGCTTCCTGAGTTGGGGTATAAATGAAAGGAACCAAGCGTGTCCCAGGGAGAATGATGCAAGGTCCAGTTGGAGTCCATCACTGGGGCCAAAAGTTTATTCTTCCAAGGCTTTGGGGTCATGACGGAAACTTCTTTTTCTCCCCAGAATGTGGGCCCTGGGCTACTCTACACATTGTACGGACAGAGAAGAACATTCGTAGCTCAGGGTTGTAGTGAGGGATCCTTGGGGATCTCTCTGAGCTGGGTGGTTTCCTTGCAGACGTTTCATGACCCGACTAGGGAACCTCATCAGTGCTAGAAGGGAGGGGGATTTGCAGAGAGGAGGGGGAGGGGAAGAAGAAGAAGATCAAGAAGAAGAAGATCAAGAAGAAGATCAAGAAGAAGAAGAAGATCAAGAAGAAGAAGAAGAAGAAGAAGAAGAAGAAGAAGAAGAAGAAGAAGAAGATGATGATCAAGAAGAAGATCAAGAAGAAGAAGAAGATCAAGAAGAAGAAGAAGATCAAGAAGAAGAAGAAGATCAAGAAGAAGAAGTCCTTGGTGCTCTGAGCTTGGTGGTTTTCTTGCAGACGTTTCATGACCCAACTAGGGAACCTCATC